GTTGTTCTCTCTCTCTCTCTCTCGTGTCATGTATTAATTATTCATTGCAGACCCAGTAGCTACGGAAGCAAAAGCAACGCTCTCACGACTATCGTCGCGTGATAGGTACAATCAGATCGAGATGAAACGTGTCCATCTCATTAACCGGAAAACCCAATCGATCGCCGAAAAAAGGGGAATGACTTTTCGCTGTCCAATTCTCCTCAAAAGTCATGTATTCCTTCATCAGATCAGATAGAGAATCTTCTGACCTCCGAAAACCTTTTGTATTGACAATCTTATCTAATAACTAACTATATTTAATTATTTCTGATTAACGATTTCTTAGCTTTCTGTAAATTGTAATTCTAATGCTGTAGATACGAGAGGAAAGCTAGTTAACCATGGTGCTATTAAACGTGAAAATTCGCGTTCGTTAATATCATCATGCAATAAAGATTATTAAAGAGCATCAAAACTTCGTTTGAGATGCAATACGCGTCATCGCTTGCCCATAGGGACGTCCTCGTTGCCGATATTGCGATAACGCTAACATTACATTGCCATTTTCGAATTCAAGTTATAGCGGCTGATTTAAAATCGAGTGGCCTTAAATCTCAGATCGTTCGTTGCATTTAATGGCTGTGATTTCTAGGGACCAAGACTGTACGTTGTAATTGCATTGAATCAGGCAGACCGGATTCGAGTGAAAGTCTATACTACGCTACTTTAAGTGTTTCCTCTTTATTTTTTTCATCTAGAACTTCACTCGAACACGCATCTGCAATCTACTTCTACTTTCGAGCAAACCGTATTCGAGATGACCAACGTTAGAGACAGACGGACATATATATCCTAAGTTCTAGTTTATTCATGTCGAAAATAAATGTACAAAGACGTTGTAAAAAGAATACAAAGCATACAAATCTGTATATACAAGATATTCCGCGAGATGTATTTTATAATCGTTGAGAGAAATAGATTTTATATATTGAATCGATTTATTTTTTAAGTTTTTAGTTATCATTTTAAACGTCGTATCATTGGGCGAGTTCAAGACAGCAAAGCGGCTAGGCATGCTTGCCGAGCGAATGAGCATGATTGGTTCTTACCTGTAGATCCAACCAGTTATGTTTAATTGCTCGGCGAGCAGATCTAGCCGCTTTATCGACTTGAACGCGCCCAATCGTGAATAGCAGGATGCGGGCGTGGATGCTTAAAGAAGCATGACCGCGCCGAGTTTCTCCTATTTCCGGTCGATTCGCGAGATTAACACGGAACGCCTCATATAAATTATGACGTAAAGATACACACGAGCTTTACCTACTGTTGTGTTACTATCTATTGTAATACCACAGAAAATATTGTGAGATATAGAAATTTTAATTTGGATAATGCATATTGAATGTTATACTGATAACACGGCGCTCGTGCTATCTGTAGTATTTTGATAATGATCGGATTATTGTTGTGTGCGTTTACTGATGTAAGGAGAGTATTAAAAAAAAAAAGGATCAACCATCAACTTGTCTGCATTACGTTTTTGCTAACCCATCGCTATTTTATCCTGTCATCTCTGTATAAACATTTATAATCATCTGTCATCGTAACTAATGCATATGAGATGTGAGTATAAACGTATACTCAATAGAATTTCATCCATCAGTAAATTTGGCGAGCTAAGCCAAAACAAACAAGAAAATTTCTTTGCATTTGCATGCCATGTTTACAGTCCTTACGTATACAGAGCTACTTTTTGAATGAAAACGGATGAAAAATGGAAAAACACGGCTATCAATAATCGATTTTAAATACTTGAAAAGAGTAATTTTAAAATATATTCGGCTTTAACATTTGCAGTTTTAGAAATTCCAAGGGACGAATACGAATACGATGGTTGTTTGCGCGGCATTGATTTTACTCTTGGGTTTGCGTGATCGTTCATGGAATAATAATCGATAATGGTAAACGAAGTTGTGCAGATAATCGAGCGACTAGTATGCAGCTGATGCAGCAGCGTTGCACAAAGGCAGCAAAACGCCTATAAACTATGAGCACCACTGACTCATGCGGAAATACGGCAATGGCATAACGGAGGGGATGGATGTATCCGAGGAGGAGAGTAGGTAGGGGATACCGTTCGGTTGGCGTGTTCAGTCATCAGTGCTGCGGCGGCTATTGCTTCAGTACTGTTAGTGTTGGATGCTGTTTGTGTAACGACGCAACCGTGCAAGTTTCCTCGCAAACTCGCATCTGTTTATCCCGATCTAAGATCGCGCGTGTCGTGTCGTTCCATGCACTAATCTTCACAAAATTGAGAGAGTGACAATTGGTCGAATCCAGAAGCCAGAAGGTAAGTAGACAAGTATAGAGTTTGGGTTTGAAACGTTTTCACCTATATCTACAACCTACTCTCTCCTTTTCTTTGTTTCCTGAAATTTCTGTATATATATTATTTGTGTAGGCAAACTACAGCCTTTTTGCGCGGACATCAGATCTATATCAGTAGTTTATCAGAATGTTTGCGATACATTTACTAATTAATTTTGTAATTAATGTAATTTTCTGGGAATGTAATGCAACAGCTAACTCTTGCTTGAGTAAGTAGCACTCGCGAATAATGAATTTTATGATCGCGTCTGTGATAGCTATCATTACACGCGAAGTCCAAGGTCAAAAATTGCCTGACAACATTTGCAACTGTCACGTACATTTACAACTGTAACGTGCATTCCGTTTTCGGCATAAAATAATTTCTCGCAAAATACAATTTTTTTATTTTATTTCACGATTACAAAAAATGTTGATATTTAAAATGACTTGTGGGGAACGACTCTGCATATATCTAACTCGCACATTTAAAGTGTACGATAAGATATACTTCGTTTTATGAAACTTGGAATCAACTTTGCAATTATCTTGGCAATTTTCCTTCGTCAAATGTAAATAACGTTACGTTGTAATTGCCACTTTTTTTTTCTCGCGTTTTGCGATTCACGCTCTTAAACACGACCACGTGTTAACCGGCGAAGTTGTATCACGCTGGAAGTGTAGTTTAAATTACTGATTACTAATCAGGCGCGATTACGTGATGTTATCATTATTTTACAATGACGTCAATCAGAAACTCGTCACACTTCCGAAGATCGATCAAGAAATGACGGCCGCCAGCACGCGGTGCCGACTGCACCTTGGCATGGTGTAAAACGCACTCGTGGTAACACATCCTTTTGATAACAACGCGCACAAAGACGGGCATTGTAAATCTTGGAGGGATAAATGCGGAAATTCTCCGAGAAATGTAAATGGATTAAAAATAATCGAATTACTTAATTACAGAATCGAATTGCTTGAATGGCAAAATAGAAAATTCTGTTAAAAATATCTGCATTCCTCTTCCCCGAGTACGCTACATATTTCTATTGAATCATCTGTATTGATCTTGGCCGGTCATAAAGTAACAATCAATGCTAAATGTTAATTGCAAATGTACTCATTTTAATGTATTTTAGTTCTTGCTAAAAAACGACTAAAATTTTTCAAAATTTTCTCTTTATTATTCATATCGAATTTATTATTCATCGAATAATAAATTTTACTATAATGAATTTTAAACAGTAAAAAGTTTTTATATTTTTATACGAATTTTATTGAATAAGACTTAAAAAATCCCAGCCTTCGAGTAACAATGAACAGTTTTGCGCAGATTTTATCTCGTTTTCACTTTTACATTTTTAAAAGCTTGGGAAATATGATAATAAAAAGCTGAAAAATAGTACATTGACAGAAAGATTAATAATTTAAAAAACGAAATTAATTTCAAAAAACGTTCAATTTTTCATAGAATACCTTTTTATTCTGTTATAACTCATCTATTTTTTCTGTTTTTTACAGATTGGGAATTCTCAAGTAATCGAAAAATCGGAGTCTTTACGCTTGATAGGTATACGAAGAAACATTGATCTTTTAATGAGTAAAATTAGAGAAGCTCAATTGCAGATAAATTGTTTGATACACGCATTTGATGCCCTTGGTTCGGATGATCTTTAATATTACATGAACCATCCGTTTCTCAAGAAATGTCAAATATATTTCTGTGTTAGCCTCGTCAAATGTTTAGTCTTGAGGAGACTTCAAAGATATTATTATGACAACGATAAATTGTAATGAAGATATGTTTAATTCCTGACAAAAAGGAAATCTGATAATTAGAAAATTAATTAAATTTAATCTTATGAGCTATTGTGAGATATCAGAATCTTAAGAAATATAATCTTAATCCTACAACACAAATAAATGTCTATGTTTTGAAAGAAACTATCGTATCAACGAAGAAACGGAGAAGCTGATAATCCAGAATTTCAAAGTTATCTCTGAGATAATAAATTCTCACGCGAACGAGTTAAATTCATAACTCTTGAGAATTCATTTATTATTGAAAGAAGCTTTTAGTGTAAATTTACAAACCTGTCAAGTTCTGATAATGTATGATAAAAAACACTGATAACAGCACGTAGTAAATTTAAACGTGACAAGGAATACACGTGATACTGCGCCAAGTTTATTTCGTATTGCTATAGAAGGTGAATATACCAAGCACATTTCTTTCGAAACGAAGGAGGCGAGGCAAAACAAAAATAGATTTTTTAAACAATAGTCCTATTGACAGAAATGATTCTTGCGAAACGCGAAAAGTGCGTATATTAGAGCTAATAAGTTTGTGTCGTTTCTGTCAGTATAACTTACATTATATAATCACGTCAGGCGGTTCAATCATACAAACGATGACCTTGGGGATTTCTTACCGGTGGACCGTCAGCTTGGCTGTTTCGAGGAAACGAAGCCGGAGATGATGCCGAAAAGGAGCTGACATTAGTTGTCGCATTTGGTTATCTCATTTTGACGAAAGGACGAAATTCTCCTGGGGGATGTCACAACCTTTTTATCGGCGAAAGTGCAAGCGTAGCACTTGGAGTTGAAGAGTTAAATAAGAAAGAGAGTAATCACGTGAGACACGATTCACGTGCTCGATAAAAGATGACTGTCTCCTACACTGCCGAGGTAGCCACTTGCAGGGGCCTCGGTTGCTTTCTCAAGTTATTACTCAGGTAAAATTTTGACTTTTTAGCATTTAAGAGATTGATTAATCTGTTCCAGTCTACTGGAATATATTATATTTATTAAAAATTTTCAGCTATTTTTTAAATTTATCATTCGATTAATCTTTTTTCTTTTATTCATAATATCTCTATTTTTCGGTATTTATATTTTAAAGCCTGATTTATATTTATATTTTAACCCCTGAATTTTTATTTTTTATTTCTCAATATGATGCTGTTATTATCACTCAATGTATTAATTTTGCAGCTGTTTATATTTATTTTTCTACATTTATTTTCTTTTTTGCATTCTTTTTTTATTTTTCTTCTATGATTAAAATAGCAATTATAATTTACACAGATACGATTTGTATGCTTTCTCATTTTACTAATCGTTTCACGTAAAAAGCTAACTCGTAGATTTGTAAATGTCAATGATATTCACGTAGGTCGCGTTCCTGAGAATAATACCACGAATTATATTGGAATACTTCCAATTGCAAGTAACGGGTAGCGAATATTTCCAACAGTATTTGCATAAAAATATAACACTTCGTCATTCAAAGTTGATACACCTCAAACATTATGTCGCTACTAGTAGCGAGGCACTAACAATAAGTCAAGATATGAAGCAGGATTATTGACTTTCAGCTCGATAATAGCACACAAGTTACGTTATCGCGTTTTGTCGCTTTGTGATCTTAATACATCGTCAGATTTTAAAGCTCATTATTGCTATTGAGATTTTCCTAGCAAGTAGACGAGATCGCTCATTATGAGACAATTATAACACCTTGACAGATGTTTCGCGTCTGCATCTAATTTACGAGTCGCGCGATTTTGTTTCAGATGGCGGGCGAGCATTTACAAACTTGTCTGGCTCGATCTGACACTCTTCCTCTTCATCTATTACTCCCTCTCCGGTATTTACCGATTATTATTGAACGAGGAGCAAAAGAAGATATTCGAATCTGTGGTGTCATACTGCAACGAGTACAGCGACCTGATACCACTGTCATTCGTCCTAGGTTTCTATGTCAGTATCGTCATGACCAGATGGTGGAATCAATACATGACGATACCATGGCCTGATTCCATCGCAGTCTTCGTATCAGCCACTATACATGGGAACGACGAACGCGGTCGTCTAATGCGTCGAACGATCGTTAGGTACCTTGTGTAATGTAAAGTTATAGCATCCATAAAGTACGACTAAAAAGTTGCATCCAATTTAAATTGCAAGGAAAGACATGTCTTGATTTTTCTTTAAACGATAGAAAAGAAGATCGATTAACCCTGCAACGGCACAATTATTTTCAGTACTTTAGAGCGGCACACATGAGTCATTTGTGTCCAATCCGATTTTGAGGCTCTTAAAGTGCTCGAGAAATTCTATAGAAATTCACACATGTTCTTTAAAGTTTCTAATAAATTATTCTGCTACGTAGACATTGGAAAAAAAGTTTAGAAAAGTTATAAAAATTATATAAGTATAGAGAAATAAGAAATGACATGGACACGATATGTGCCGTTGGAGGGTTAAATATTCCAAGGTATATAATATTTTCTAAATGTCAAAATATATAATAGTTTGTTAAGTAAATCAGTTAAAATATTATCATTAAGTATTGAACTTCACATGTTATAGACAAGATAAAAAAATATTTCATACGAATTTTTTTTATATATTATGTAGCGAGTTTTACTTTAGGCAGTTTTATATACAATACTTTAGTTTCTCTAAATAAAAAAAAATTTCTTTTTTTCAGGTACGTGTGCGTTTGTCTGACTATAGTCCTAACAAACGTCGCGCCGCGTGTAAAGAAGAGATTTCCTACTTTAGAGCATTTTGTGGAGAGCGGCTTGTTGCTGGACAACGAATTAGCGATATTTCAAAGCCTAAATGCGAAATTCCCAAAGCCAAGTAAACATTGGCTACCGATAGTTTGGGCTTCCAGTATCGTGACCCGAGCCCGACAGGAAGGTCGAATACGTGACGATTTCGCGGTGAAAACTCTAATTGATGAACTTAATAGGTTCCGCGGGATGTGCGGCAGTATATCGCACTACGACACAATCAGCGTCCCGTTAGTGTATACTCAGGTAGACATAGAAACTATTTAAATTAATTTCGGAAGGCAAAGCAATAGTCGTAAGAAATTTTGGGAAGAGAGAGTCGGGAAGAATAATAATGAAATATTTAATGTAAAATATATTTAATAAATAGAGTCGCATAGTTCATACGAATCAGTTTGTCGCATCTGAATTCTAAATTCTATTTTTAATGTATAGGTCGTAACATTAGCCGTCTATACATATTTTTTGACTACTGTGATGGGTCGTCAGTGGATTCAAAAGTCGGACTCGACCATAGATCTGTACTTCCCAGTATTCGCGACATTGCAATTCTTTTTCTATATGGGCTGGTTAAAAGTAGCCGAAACGTTAATCAATCCATTCGGCGAGGACGACGATGACTTTGAAGTAAACTGGTTAATTGATCGCAATTTGCAAGTAAGAACTTTCTCGTCGTTTACTTTTTTCTCTCTTGAAATTCTAAAATAATACTATTTTTTGTTTTTAAGGTAAGCTATCTAATCGTTGACGAGATGCATCACGAACATCCTGAACTCATACGTGATCAATATTGGGATGAGATATTCCCCGCGGAACTCCCCTACACCGCCGCAGCACAACCTTACCGCGAGGAACCTCCTGAACCTTCAACAGCTGGCATACAATTGTCCGCCGCGCAACAAGAATTGCAACCATCGTCGGTTAAAATTGACGAGATGATGCCGATGGATGATCAGAAATTCCGCTCCGACATCGCTGACGATGCTGCTTCAGGAATACATTTTATCGCAGGAAAGCTGTCTCGGTAACTATAGATTACTTCACATTTGAATATTTTTTTATTTAAATTTAACGTGAAGCAGGTCTATTCACATTTCATATTTTTAATGCAAACTCAGAAGCAATACAGACAGCACCGAGAGATTAATAAGGTAGCTATTTATACCTTGTGATGAAAAATTAATGAAGAGTAAAACTTGTTGGAATTTCAAAACACATATAATAATTATAATTTCATTTTAATAATACAAATATTAAACATAAAGATAATAACATTAGATAATAAAGTTGTACTTTCAGAAAACACTACGATTTATAGTATAGTATAGTATTATAATATTGATGTGAAAATGATAACTTATCTTCACGATTCTAAAGTTCTGCTAATTTTTTATTAGAAGCACCAGTAGAGTGAGCAATCGAGATCGCAATATCAGTGGCGGTTCGACTAGCAATTTGGGTGAGTCCCTCACGAGGGTAGCCAGCGTCACTAATGCACTTAAGCGACTGTTTAGCAAAGATGACAGGACGGACGGGAGTACCACGAGTGCCGCCAAAGCCACGGGAAAGATGCCAAGCACGGGTTCAACAGCTTCATTACAACCACGACCACCTGGTACGTTTTTTGCTAGGATCCCTATTTTATAACTCTTAACGACAGCGTCGATGTCGTTATATTATCGTTGCACAAATTTTGTAAGTAAAAAGACTACACAACGACAATATAATCGATATCGACACTGTCGTTAAAAATTACAGATTAGGACCTTAGGTATTACATTAAAACGACTGATTAAGGATAAAATAATAATGTCATAGGTGCAGGTGGCTCCATGAGAATAGGCGTCATTGAGGAAGTGGACGAGCAGATGACATTGACATCGTTAAAACAATCGAACGAAAGCAGGCCTCACGTACAAAATATATTTGCGCAAGGGCCTCCACCGCCGAGTGATCCCGTCGACGTTCCTGGTGTCGCACAATCTTACAGTCGTGAGATATTCTCTAGGAGTGCACCCGCACATGCAGGAGCTTTAATAACAGCCGGCAGTGCAGAATCTGCGGTCGAAAGGCGGAGCATTTTAAGGTTGATAATTTAATGATAAGTCCGAAAAATTAACTCCGATTTCCAATATTTGTAAATGTACATCAGAAAATTCCAAACTGCGTATATGAATCGTCTGGAAATTTATCAGTTTTATAGCCTTAAATTTTGTTAGAATTAAATTCCACTAGCATTTTCTTAGAATTAAATTTGACTAAAAATTTGAGAATTAAATTTGACGTTTCAATTATAATTAAGGCATTTTAATTTTCCTAAAATTTATTTTTATCTCAGGACACAAGAATCCGCACCATCAATGAGGTCGAGTACCATTTATGAACCAGCGCCTAGTTACACCGGTAGTGGGATAAACGACGACTTGCCCAGCACATCAAGCACCTCCTCTTCTGACAATGGCACAAGCGAATTTACGAAATTGAAAACCGAGAGGAAGGCTCGAAGGCGTAATCGAAAACTTACTCGAAGTGCTAGTGGCCTAAACGAAAATGAATCGAGAAGCCCTCCCGATTCGGAAACTCTTCTGCTGACGGAATTAGCAGACGCGTCGCGACGAAGTATGAAAGAACGCGATGAAAACGATGAAATTTAGAAAAAATACGTTGATTTTCGACGTTAGTTCGTCTAATAGGCCTGAATAACAAATTCGATCGAAGTAAAAAAATAACGTAACATTACGTCATCAAGAAAATAATAAATATATACAGTGACAGATTTGTTATGTGTCTGCGATGTACTTATGAAACAAGTTTATCATCAAACAATGATGTAATGTTTCACGTACATACGGATTTTATATTACATACGAGTAATCCATATGTAATATATTACCCATATGTAATATAAATCAATTGTGAAATTTTGCGGTTAGCAATTTTTTAGCATTCTTATGAAATCTGCTTTAACAACGACAAGTTTGTAAAGAGTTAAAAATATTTTTTACACGAGCATGTATAACGCAGCAGTATCGTCGTGCGAAAGTTTTTCGCGAAAGCCAGCTGAAAAAATTTCAGTGTTTTCGTTCATTTATAAATCAATATGCAAAGTGTTTTTTAGGTAAAAGTTTAAGTACAAAAACATGATTGTATAGGGTGCTTTCCAACAAGAGACACACGATGTGACACTGTGCATTATTACATCTTTGTTTACCAATGTTAAACAAGGATGAGATGATCACTGTGTTATATGTATACTGGGTCGTTTGAAAGGCACCCATAGTTTCAACTACAATAGCTACGCACAAGATATTTTTGTTATTTTTCTCAAACCTTACAGAAATTTAATACTGAAAGGTAGTGGTTAATTACTTATTTTTGAGTGTTATTTGTTGCTTTTAACATCAAAATTAAGTAATTTCTCGTATTAAGTTATTAAATTTGATTTCTGTAATGAAAACAAAGAAACATAAGATAAAAGTACAAAAGTGCTATCAATGCTATTGATAAAAACTTGTTAATACTCAATCAAAATGTTCGGTTAAAAATTATTATATTTATCGCAATTTTAAAAAATGAAATTCAGTCTTCTGAAATTATTTACAAGGGTAGAGAACTTGAATTTAATCAAACAAAAAGATTTTTTAAAGAAATATATAACTTAAAATTTTGTATTTTTTAAATAAAAATTTAATTTTCGCGTTTTATCTTATAATATATTGCACACGGTGCTTTATTGTACACTTAAACGACTTGACTGTCGCTGGTCATTTTCGATTAACATTCCACGATGTTCACGATTTGTTACGGTGCTATGAGCCGTTTGTTTTGCAGTATTATTGAAATAAAGTATTTTCAATAAAATACGATTAATTTTTATTTTAGCAAAATATTACAGGCACCCATTTTTTTTGTTTTACAACACAATACGACAAAAATCAATTTTTTTCCTCCTATGAAAAAATCAGAGATTCTGAAAATAGATGTATAAAAGAAATACCCATGTCTCAGCGTTTTATCAGATCAAGTCGTTAAACGTTTTGTATGCAGCCATTTATCGTATTTGCTTCATATTGGCTTTTTACAATTGTTTTAAATTATATAATAATTTTTAAAAATAAATAATTGATGGAGTTTTGCATGTGAAATTATGCGATATGTCCGAATACAAAAAAATCAACTGAGAATTTTTTTTCATATATTTTCAAATTTTTGTATAATAATTATCTATTATTATACAAAAAAAAACGATAAATGGCTGCATAAAAAACGTTAATGACTTGATCTGGAAAACAGAGATATTTTTTTTACATCTACTTTCAGAATCTCTTTGAATGGGAGGGAATGTGTGTTATACTGTACAATATGTGTTCTGGATAAACTTAAATCTGAATTTTTGGTAGAAAGCGCCGATACAAAACTCTCCGGCCAGTTCATAATTGATTCACAGTTGATTCTATAAATCAATCACAAAGTCGTACTAGCTTCTTAAGATAAGCTTCTTAAGTCGTACTAGCTTATTAAGTACTGACTACTATATTCAGTCTTGTTTTAAGGCTATTTTCTTAAGATGCTAATATACCTGTGATTGGCCTGTGATTGACATCTTAAGACTTAAATAAGAACTGACTATAAATACAAGGATTTTCTAATAAAACAAAAAAATTAATAAATATAAAAAATAAGATATTTATTGGCTATCGCAAATAAAATGTCGAAAGACCATTTTCAATAATTACTAAGACATAATTACTAAGACATCAAATGTTTAATTAATTTATGGAAAATCTGCTATACGAGTAATAATTACGATTGCACGGAATACATTTGATGAAAGCGTCACATAGCAACGCAATCTGGAGACACTGGTAGTGTCTC